CCTTTGCCCACCGAGTGGCTCCACAGGTGCCCATGGCATAGCTGGTCATGTCACACACTTGTTTTCTTTCCCACCCCACCCATCTTCATGCTGCACACCGTGAAGGGAGTATGGGACCTTGTGAGGCAGGCATGGGCCTGTGGATCTACTGCTCCCTGCTCTGAGATCTAAAGGTATGAGTTCTAGGGAAGGATGTGGGTCCCAGGGAATGGAAGGGGCCAGAAAAGCCTACAGAGACCCACAGGATGAATATTCGGCCTTAGAGTATTAGGACCTCAAGGAGCTAAATAAAAATTAATTATGGACCAGACAGTGCTGCAGCAGTAACATGGTGCTCTGTGATGCTCGACCCACACGGGAAGGTCCCAAGTCCATGTCCTAAGGCCTTCTTGTATACACCAGGTACACACAGGCATGCCCACGATCTGGGCTGTCTGGGGATAGACGTGGGTTGCAATGTGAACTCCTTTTTTTTGGGGGGGTGGGGGGGCTGTGCGCCTGTCTCTCAATCTATTTCTGTGTGTCTCTCTCTCATAGAAGAAATGAATAATTTGTTTAAAAGTGATTACTAGTCCTACCCTCCCTTTTAAGCTTTCCAAGTTGTAACTACAATAAAACCCAAAGGGAACTCCCACCCTGAAACACAATCCTAAATGTCAGCCTTTGGGCCTTGGCTGTCCCTTTACCATTTTCCTGCATCAGAGACCCCTTAGGACAGAGGTCAGCTGAAATTCGGTTCCCACTTCACAGGTCTCTAGGGGGTTTCAGACTCAGAGACAAAAGGGAAAGGAAAATCAACCAAACAGCCTCCTGAGCGGGTTGGGGGAAAGCTGGGTTTGCACACAGTGCCAGCAGCTCCCCATAGGGCAGCTCAGGAGCCTGGCCTGGCTGAAGTTGTATGAAACACGTGTGGTCTGAGCTGAGTCCAAATGAATTGTAACAAGAGGGCTCGAGCAAAGCGCCTCTGGTATTGGCCAAATCAAAGGGAACCGATACCAGGCATGAAAAGCCAGCCTGGCCTTTTCAAACTGGCTGGGGAGACGGCCCCAGCCCTGTGCAGTTTTTGGCCTCCTCCTTTCAACTCACAGCCCTGAAGTTGCCTCTAACTTGAAAGGGCTAATTAAAGCCAAAAGAAAACTCAAAAGCTTGTTATCTGGCTCCATTACTCCCAGTTCTGGCATTAGCCTGTCTAGCACGGCTATTTTCCCTCTGTTCCCTCCAAGGCTACCACATAGTGTTCGGACCTGCAGCCCTGCAGACTTCTGTGATGAACCTGGCTTTATTTTTACTGCATCAGGGAGCAAGGGCAGGACAAACACCTGCCCATGGGCGGTCAGACAGACTCTAGTGGCTGAATTTGTTCCTCATGCATTGTCCCAAAAGGCAGGTTTAGAGCAAGTTTTCTACAGGAAAGTGTGAAAGATTGCCACTTCTCTGATCTCAAAGGAACTAGGGCCATTTAGGCACATTAACTCACCATTTTCTAGCACGGGTTGTGTGTGAGCATGTGGATGGGGCATTTATGTGAGTGTGCCCTACCAGCGAGGGGGATTCAGCTAAGTGCTGGCTCTGCCACTCACTCATAAGGCGCGTGACCTTAGGCAATGTATTCACCCTGCTGGGTCTCAAGATGCAAAATGAAGGTTTATACCATGGGGTCTTTAAGGGTCTCCTGACACTAACATGCTAATTCATGTCCCCATGGGCCTAGCTTAGAGTGGGTAACACACATGCAGCCTGCAGCACAGCACCTGACCTGTGTTGACTGCCTTCATTTGAAGAGTCCATGGACCCCGAGTTCATAACCTGTCTCATAGACTCTATTGAGTGAATCACCTACTGCCTCAAATATTGGACCCAGGAGTCATTCCCAAAAGCTAAACCTCTGCTTGGAGGTCTCAGGAATATAATCCAGTGCCTTTGATTCTCTGATATGGCTCTGATTCGTCAATGTGTTGCCATCCTGTAAGGCCCAATGCATCTCTCCTATTTCCTGGTGACATTAGTGGCCTCCTAGCTTTTCAGTACCTCCAAGAAGGAACGATATCTTTTAGTTTCAGCCCCACTACTTGGAAAACAACCTGAGCCTAAGTGTCAGGGCACCAAAGGCAGACTGTGGGGTTCCTTTGTCCTCTTTCCCACCTCCACCCCAAATGCCAGTGACTGAGGGAATAGCCACACACTGTAGGGAAGGTACCAGTGCCTTATGATCTGCCTGGCAAGTAGCTTTACTTTTTAACAGTAAGCTCCCACTTTAAATCAATCAAAATACGTTATCCTAATCCAGAGTTCCACCAATGAAGGAGTCAAGAATCACGTAAGTACAGTATATCATTGTGGTCCCAGCTATTCAGGAGGCTGAGACAGGAGGATCACATGTTCCAGGCTACCTGGAGCAACATGGTAAGACTCTGAACCTAAACTAATTTTTTTCCTTTTAAATGTGTACATCTGATACATTTTCCTTTATTATTCCCAAATTATGATAAGTTAGATTATCTCAAACTACACTCATATTTTTTAAAATCTGCCAGAGGATGCACATGCTTGCCAGAGAGAGACTGGGCAGGGAGAGGTGAAGATGAGAAAGCATACCCTATTGGGGGTGGCCATGCTGTAATCCCTTCTCCACTTCTCCCTCTCTTGGGATTTTGAGTGTTCACACACATGCACCTAGAGTAGCTCTCAAACCATCAGGTCCAGGACTAGAATTGTGTAGCTGGCCATGTTGGATCCAGCTACCCCAACTGCCACACCAACAGCTGGCCTGGTTATCTTTTTTGTTTTGGTTTGGTTTGGTTTTTGCCATAGGGTACATGGAAAGAGACAGAGAGAGGCAGTGAGAAAGAAAGAAAGAAATCACCCCCCAGTAGGGATGGCCATGCCGTAATCCCTTCTCCTTCATTCTCCTTCTGGGATTTGGGGCACACACACACTCACACCTGACATGATTTTCAAGGGGCCAGGTCTGGGACTCAAACTATAGCCAGCCTTGTGGAAGTTCAGTGCAGTAATCATTAAGCCTGCTGGCCCCCGGAATCTTTTAAATGGACAGTACATTTTGAAAGGAGGTAACAAAAGCCTAGAAGATACTAAGGACTGAGCCTTCCAAGTCATTTGAAGAACAAAAAGCATCTCGTTTAAAAGATGAACACCAAGTCAAGCCACAGAAGGGCTGATGCTTCTCATGTTGGGTCATGAGTGAGTTGGGCTGGGAGGTGCAGAAGGCTGGGTCATCATTTCACCTGTGGTCACCCACCAAGGCCACAGGCTAAGGTCTGTCTACACCTCGGGTCCACAGGCCATGGAAGGCACATGCGCCTAGGGTACATGGAAAGAGACAGAGAGAGGCAGTGAGAAAGAAAGAAAGAAATCACCCCCCAGTAGGGATGGCCATGCCGTAATCCCTTCTCCTTCATTCTCCTTCTGGGATTTGGGGCACACACACACTCACACCTGACATGATTTTCAAGGGGCCAGGTCTGGGACTCAAACTATAGCCAGCCTTGTGGAAGTTCAGTGCAGTAATCATTAAGCCTGCTGGCCCCCGGAATCTTTTAAATGGACAGTACATTTTGAAAGGAGGTAACAAAAGCCTAGAAGATACTAAGGACTGAGCCTTCCAAGTCATTTGAAGAACAAAAAGCATCTCGTTTAAAAGATGAACACCAAGTCAAGCCACAGAAGGGCTGATGCTTCTCATGTTGGGTCATGAGTGAGTTGGGCTGGGAGGTGCAGAAGGCTGGGTCATCATTTCACCTGTGGTCACCCACCAAGGCCACAGGCTAAGGTCTGTCTACACCTCGGGTCCACAGGCCATGGAAGGCACATGCGCCAGCCCTTCATTCTACCTGTCCCCGGTTTCCAACAACTTCCATCTCCCAGTGCTGCTCTCTGGCTGTGTCCTGATTGTCATGTGTCTCCTCCTTGTCACTGTGCACATAGAACATGGCCAATAAATACAGTCTGTCCCCTGACAACCTTTCCCAAGCAAGTTCTGTTTTCCTGGTGTGTTCACTGGACTCTTGTACCTTACTTCTGTTCCCATTTCCTGAACATACACAAAGGGACTAAAAGTGACTCCAAAGATCTCATATCTATCCCAAGATGGGTGACTCCTCACTCTCCTCTCTCCCCTCTTCCAGGGTTTATATTCTAAGCTTCCGGGAAAGAGATTCAGAGCCTGATCACTGAGAAGGGTGGATAGGGACCAGCAATTGGCGTAGTGGCTATGTCGCTGAACTCCCATGTAGCCAACCACAGATTGCATCCTGGACCCGGTGCCTTAAACTAACACTGGGCGCGTGTGTGAATTGCATCCTGGACCCAGTGCCTTAAACTAACACTGGGCGCGTGTGTGTGCATGCCCAGGATCCCGAGAATGGAGGAGAAGGGATTGCTGTGTGGCCATACCCCCTGGAGGGGGGGGTGATTTCTCGCTTTCTGTCTCTATGCTTCTCTGTCTTACTGGTGAGCACATACACCCTATAGCAAAAAAACCCTCCAAAAAAAGAAGAAGAAGAAGAAGGGTGGCTACACATCTTGGACTACAACATGCTATAATCTAGCCTTCAGCCATGCTCGTGCCTACCACAGCTACTTAACACAGTCCCACCTATTGCCAGCATTCCCTTTCACAACTAATCAGCCAATATGGAACAGAGAAGAACGCCCTGGTAGGAAATCTGTTTTACTTTCAGCTCTGACCCTTGTAAGCTCGGCCCATTTGAGCTGGTGACTCTCTGAATCTAATGAGAGCATGAGATATGCTCATCCCATGTGCAAAAGAGGACGGAGGCTACAAGGCTAGGGTCCTCACCCTCCACCCTACCAGCCTCCAGGCGCTCCCCTGACTCACCGCACTGCTGCAGGGGATGTCCTTCACCTTGAGCCAGGCCAGGTCAAGCGTGCCCTCGCCCCGGTAGCAGGACTGTAGTCGCTCTTTAATGCGGTCATTGATCTGCTTCAAGATGAAGATGCACAAGGCTGACTCATCCAGGGATTTCATTTTCCGCTTCTGGCCCTTGGAGAAGACGGTGAAGAGGAGGTCGTCATCTGAATGGACTCCAAGGGTCTGGCCAAGCATAGCCCCAGCTTTGGAGAGGTAGGCAGCCTGCAGCAGGCGGTATTCCACCCCATTGCGCTCACAGCCAATGGGCACCTCCACGTAGGAGTTGAAGGCGGTGTCCTCCTTGCAGAGCCTCACGAGCTTGGATGTGTACACCTGCTCCTTGGTGGTAGAGCCTGGGGGAGACACCATCTCAGGCTGAAGCGTCAAAAAGTAGACAAAGTTGCCACTGCTGAAACCGTAGACATAGTAGATATCAAAGTCAGGGATGACAGTGAAGGTGTCTGAAGGGATCTTAATCATGGAGGCCACAAACTCATCGTGGAAGACATACGCGAACATGCCATCTGCCTCGGAGTTCTTGGTCAGCGTGCGACTGGAGATAGTGGGAAAATACTCGGGCTTGCCATCCACCGCGGTCGCAATGAACAGCTTGTCATCCAGGTTGCTGTAGGAGACAATCACTCCGAAGACGGAGCCACTCTCATTGACCCCCGACAGGTAGTGCTCCTTCTTATGGAAAGGCTCCCCCAGCTTGAAGAGGTCCTCCAGCCTCAGGAGCTTGCAGATGCCCTGATACAGGCTCCCGCAGGCGATCAGCCTATTCTCCTTATAGTCGATCAGCAGCATCTTATTGACATTGTTGGTGGTGGTCAGGGGCTCATTGCAGGTCTGGACGATACGAGGTGGGTAACACTTGGGGTTGTCCTCATCTGGCCCTGTCTGGTGGGTCACCAAGACCTTCAGGTCACTGGAGAGCTTGTAGATCCGGTTGACAGCACCCAGGTAAATGTGCCCTGTCCTCTCATCCACCACAAGGTGATTGAAGCCCTCAGTGGGCTCCCCTCGGAAAGTGAGGAAAGATCGCTTCTGAGCCGGTGGGGGAGGCTGCCGGGGCAGCAGGGTGGAGGAGCCCACCCCGACCACCAGCAGGTGGGAGAGCAGGCAAGTCCAGTTCCACGGCATGGCTCTCATCCCGGAGATGGGCCTCGCGGCGCAGCAGCACGCAGCACAGCCGTCTCCCGGGCTGCAGGCTCAGCGCGGTCCCCCCTGCGGGAGAAAAAAGAAAAACTGTGACGCTGGCTAACATGGCAGTGTCATCCTTCACCCCACAGCCGTCTGGCTGGACTCTCAGAGCATGCAGCACGCACTGCACTGGGGGAAGCTAGAGGCCAACTGTCACAGCACCTGCCGTCGGCGTGGAGAGAGGCAGAGCCAGGAGGCCGCAGCCCCAGGAGGGCACTTCTGGAGAAATGATAATAGTGACATGATTACGATCATTATAATAGCAGGGATGATGATGCTAACGACAAACAGTCATTGCCTATGAGTGCCTGACTGTCTCAGTCACTGTCCAGCACTCTGCAGACTGTCTCATTTCATCTTTGCAAACCCTTCCATCTGCCCTCCAGATCCACCACCCTCGCTCCCTTGTGCCCAGGAGACCCCATATCAGCAGGCTATGCAGCAGGCTGCTTGACCTGGGGCCTGGTTAGGTGGAGGCAGATGGGGGCACCAGCAGAAGACTGGAGGGAGGAGAAGAGGGGAGGAGGAGAGCAGAGGAGGAGAGGGGAGAAGAAGGAAGGGGGAGGTGGGGGAGGGGAAGGAAGATGAGATCCGGAGAAGCTAGGGAAAAGGGAAGAGGGCAAAAGGGAAGAAGGAGATGGGGGAGAATAGGGGAGATGGAAAGGGGGAGGGGAGGGAGGGAGAGATTAGGAGAGGCTAAAGAGAAGGGAGGATGGGAGGAGAGGAGAAGAGGGACAGGAGAGGGCAGGAGGGGGCAAAGGCGGGAGGGAAGAAGGGAGAGAGGAATGGGGCTGTTGCCTTGGCTGTTTCTATAGTAGCCTACAGTTCTCTGCAGCAGGCCTCTCACCCAGCCTCCAGGTACCATAGACATCTCTGCCAGACTTCTCTGCACAACAGGCCTCACTGTCACTACCCCAAATACTGCATGATCCCTTGGGGAGACACATTTGATGAGGAATCCCTTCACTAAGCTTTGTTCAGGGCTTGATTCTGGGCCCAGCCACAGTGGCCCACAGACAGTGTCACCCCTCGAAGGCTGGAAGCTGCATGGAAGGCCCAGGAACCTGAACCAACACCAGGTATGAACACACCAGCTCCCACAGCTGTGAGCACCGGAATCCTAGCTAAGATTCAGAGGAGGGAGATCACAACACAGACTCTGTTGAAAATACCTATCTTGGCCCAGCCACAGTGGCACAGGGAGTAAGGTGCACCTACCCAATACTGGAGCCACGTGGGAGGACCCTGGGTTCAGATCCCGGGTCAACCTGATCACACTGGACACAGCTGCAGCTGCACCCACGATCCTTGCTGGCTGGAAGGTTAGGGAAAGGATCAAGGAATAGAAAGGCTCTGCTAAGGGTCTCTTCTCTCTCTCCCTCTCTCAAAAAATAAATAAATGTTATAACCCTGTCTCTCTCTCACTTCCCTTCTCTTGCTTTCTCTCCCTCCACTTATTAAAAACAAAAGGAAAAAAAAGACCAAGTTTGCATGTGGTCTCTACTTCCTGCCAGGACCCTGCCTAGGTTTCCGACACACAATTTTATCCCCACTTTGTAGCTGAGGAAAGCAGCTTAGGGGAGTTGCGTAACGTGGATGACTAACAACAATAGAGGGGCTTCAAACCCGAATAGTGAGTCCATAGTAGATTCTCACTGCTAGCCAGCTCTGTTTACCCCCGCCTTGCCCATCTGCAGCCAGACAGCAGTCCCAGAGCCAGTCAAAGAGCAAAGGCTGAGCCTGCCACTGCGCCGTCCTTCCCAGCTGCTGTGTGGGCCCTCCGAGCCCGTAACTACTGCAGCAGAGCTCGTCCTTCGAGCCTCCCATGCCGGCCAGCACGGGGAGGCCAAATTAAAAACTCCATCCTCAATCCCTTTGCACTGTGGCAGTAACCGCGTCTTCCGGGTACACTGGCCAGCTCTGAGCCCTAATGTCATTTTAACAAGGCAGCTCTTGGCTGCCTCCCACTGAGGGGCCGCCTCTGAGAGGTTTTCATTAAAGGGAGAGGAAAAATGCTTTAAGAAGTGGACAAGTAAATAAATAAATAAGTAACTCCCTGCAGAATAAGATTTGCTTTCCGTCCTCACGGTCTCCTTCACGTCTATTCGAAATGACTCCCTGCATGTGCTTCCAGCAGACAGCTTCAGATTTCTTCCAGTTTGGGACGAAATCTGCTAACATCCTACCTGGGCGATCTTAGCTGTGTGGAATTTCTCTCGTTTACTCCCCAACGCCTCGAAAATGGGTGGATGGGAAGTGGTAGACGACTTAGCAACAGAAATTTCCCAGCAGAAAGAACACACAAGGTTAGATAGATACCAACAGAAGAAATCAGAAGATAAAGTCCAGCCCAAACCCTACTGAAAAACACAGGTCTTCTCAAGTAAACATCAGAGGAGGAAGATCCCGACAGGTGGAGCACCTCCGGACCAACAGCAGCCCTGCAAGCCAGGGGCCTTCATTCACCCACCCACATGGCAAACATTTCCTTAGAGCACACCCAGGATAAGCTGGGGTAGGGGGGTCCAAGGATCAGGTCCTCCAAGAACCTGTAGTCAAGTCAGGCAGGTGCCACCAGGACCTGAGCTATTGCACACTATGGGAAGTTACATGACACGGGACGAAGTGCTTTGGGAGTCCACCTGAGAAAAGTGGACTTTTAATTTGGGATGAGAGAGTGAGGGGCATACTACGAACGTCTTAAGGAGTGGAAGCAATTTCAGCCAAGCTGTGAACTTGAAGAAGACATGCAGTGCTGGAAGGGAAAGGCTCTTTGAGGCAAGAGTGCAATGACAAAAGAACAGGCATACCAAACCAGGGTGTGTGCCAAGAAGAGTGCATCTGCAGAACACCATTCATGAAAGCATCAGACAGAAGATTCCACAGGAAAGAAACAGCCCAAAACCTTGTCAGAATGTCACTGGGAAGTTGAGACTAAAACGCATAGTGTTGAGAAAAGAAATGTATATGTCAAAGAAAAAAGCAAATCCCCCCTGCCCCCCCCTCCGAGAATAGCCTTTCTGCATGTCTGTCCATTCCACCTGAGCCTCTGCTGAAGGAGCGTTTGGAGCTGAGGGCAGGGCAGGGCCTGTCTCTCTCACTCCCAGAATCCTGCCATGCATCCACTAGAAGTTCAACAGCTGTTTTCTGAGAGACAGAAAGAGGGGCTGGAAGCAGATAAGAGGCCAGTATTTGCAGAGCAGGTTCCGCGCCCCAGACCCCGTGCAAACGCTTTTGCACAGATCGACTCATATAACCATCACAACTGTTCTCTGGCGTCAGGAGTGTTCTACACATTGCTCAGGTGAGGAAACTTTAGTTCTGCAAAGACACATGGCCAATAAGTGGCAGAGCTGAAGCCCAAACCTACAAAACCTGTATTCTCTCTAAAAAAGCACGATTTCAGAGCCCACACCTGGAAGCTCTTTTTAATGCACATAAGTCCCCAAATATAGAAATCCCAAGACATCGCCCCCAAGCAGCAGGAGAAAATCAAAGTCTCTCTGAGTCCCAGCGCACAGGTAGAAAACACCTACCAGGTGGGTATCATTATTTACCTCTGAAAGTATTAAGATACCAAGCACCAGCCACAGCCCTCTGCCTGGTGCAAAGTACGTGCCTATTAAATGATAGTGGTGGTGGTGTTCTTTTTAACGAGATTGAAATAGGGTCAGAAGGATTAGGATTAGGATGACAAGATGATACCTGGTGGGACCTTCTCCATTTTTGAGCCGAAAGAGATAACCATGCATCAGTATAATGACTCTCACTCTCTGATTTTAGAGACATTCTCACTCCCTAGTTTTAGAGACAAGGACGCTGAAATCCAGAGAGGTCGAGTGAACCACATTGCAGGGAAGCCACATTGTGAGTTAAAGTGGAGGATGGGAGATAGCTCGATTCTCTGACTCTGGGTCCAGTGCTCTCTCTCCCCCACTCAAGACCTGTTTTCTGACTCCATCAGAACTCCTGCCAGCATCTGCTCCCTGGCCTTTGTCAGAAAGAGACTGCTCTTTGAGCACCATATGCCCCCACCGGCTAACACAGCTCTCAAAACATCTCTGCCAACAATGGAATTCCTCCAGGGCTGGTAATCCTCACTCCAGACAGGCGGGTGCGGGGCAGGGCTTGGCCACCGCTCCTGGGAGGGCGCTCTCACAAGTCACTGTATTGAACCTGCCACATGGCCTGCCTTACTGTAGAGCGGTGGGATGAGGAGGCTGATAATTATGAATTTACTGAGTAGAAAGGTGCCATGGCTCATTCTCTGCCTTCTATTAGGCACTGAAATGAGACACAGTTATGCATTTCAAACACTTTATCAGTCTCATCTGGGGCTCCTGAAATTACTGCACCTAGAAGGGAGGGGACCCACAGAAACAATAACGTGTGATGGGAATAGCCAGGCTCTCATTTTACGCACGGGGGAGGGGACTGATTAGAAAATACATAGGAGAGAAGTAGGAGAGAGAGGGGAAAAAAAAAAAAAAAAAAAAGATGGGGCTGCAGCCCCCACCACAGAGACCACCCAATGGCATGCCCACCCCAGCTTGCTAACTCCAAGCCCATAGGTAGGAACAGCTGCCAGTCCCTTTACTCTCAAATCATCCCTTGGCTGGTTTCAAAATAAAGCATTGGAGGGACGGCTTAGCCCAGCTCCGATTCTCAAAGGCAATTAATGAGACCCAGTCACACCCAAGATTGCCCCCGAGGGACTCAGAGAACTAGGAAGGTGGAGAAAGGGCCAGAGGGCAGGAGAACAGACAGACCCTGAATCAAACCCAAACTTGCTGCCTTTTCCTTTCTTTGAAATCAGATTTTAATTCTGATGGTTCTCTGGAGACGTGGGACTCGTTTTTAGAAGCTGATCATCATTTTGATTAAAGAAATCGGGGCTGTCTTTGTTTTATGTGGCAAGTTTTGAAGAGCTCAAACTAATTTTCATGAAATAGCTCCTGAGTGGTAGAGAAGAAAGTTATTACAGAGTGGTTTAAGATAGCAATTACCTCACGAAATTACTTGAG